AGGAGGAGGAGGCGGGAGGAAGGTGTGTGGGGGCAGGCTGGCCCGGGCTGAAGCGCTCCAGCAGCCTCTCACAGGCCAGCCATGTCCAGCCCGGGGCTCCTGCTCCTGGTCCTGCTGCTGGCACCACTGCCACTGCAGCCCTCCTTGCTGCCACCGCCAGACACCCCAGAGGGCAAGGCCGCCATCACGGGCCTCATCCTCTCTGCGCTGGAGAGAGCCACGTCCTTCCTGAAGAAGAGGCTGCCTGAAATCAACCTGGATGGCGTGGTGGGGTTCCGGGTGCTGGAAGGTGGGTACACTCTTGTTGCCCTGTACTGGCCACCGGGAAACCAGTTCTCGGCCTGTCACCTGCCTACTCTGTACCCTTGGGACTTGCCCATCTTCTGGTCCCGAATAGTCAGCTTTGACTATAAGGAAATGGGGCTGAAGGTGGCTTGCTCCTTTTCGGTGTCTGGAGCCCTACTGTGATGAGTTTTTTTTGTTTTTTGTTTTTTGGGTTTTTTTTGAAGCAAGAAGGATTCAAAGGCCACGTGAGAAAAGATTTGGAAATTGTTATTTTCCCAGGAAGAAATGTCATTTGACAGTCCCTCCCTCCTGACATGCCAGGACCCAGACAGGCAGAGGGAGTGTGCCCTTTGAGGGGACAGTCAAGTAAGAGTGGCAGCCCCGGCTCCCCCAACATCCTGTAGGCTCCAAGTAAAGTGCCAAGTGTTTGTTCAGCTTTGAGGGATATAAGATCCCCGAGGAGGGGGCTGGAGGCAGGCCAAGGCAAACAGAGAGCCACCCCTTCTCCACCACGCACACCATGGGTTGCAGTGAGCCCCTCCCTGACCCAAGGGACAAAGAGCCAGCTTGGTGTCAACTTGGGGCTCTGTTGGGCCCTGCTCCCTCATCTGTCACCCTCTCTGCGTTGCCAGGACAGCTTTCAGCCACTCCCCCACCCCGCCCCCACCACCACCCTCGGACTCCAGATCCCAGCAGGAGGTGGGGCTCTGAGACAGGTCTGCTTTGGGTGGGTCCCTGGCCTATGTAGTGCCCTCACTGCCTTGGGGTCTCCTGAAGACCCTCAAGATCCCTGTCGCCTCCCCTCCTCTCCAGGACAAGGGTGCAGCAAGACAGATGCCACAATCTCCTTCATTTAACCCCAGCCCAGTTTCATAACTCCTCTAGAAACTAATAATAATGGTAAACACGCAGGGCTGGCTTCCCCATTTGGCACACGGTACTTTTAGGGGCTCGTGGAAATGTTTTAATTTCTCTTTAAATAAGAAGAAAAAAGTAAACTTTTAGGTCAAAGAAAATGCTTTAATATATAATATTCTATCTTTATCTATCTTCATACCAGCCAAGTTGTAAAATGTAGTATCCAATATACTTATTTAATGGAGGAGGGGCCCACAAACCTGCCACGTGTCCCCACAGACGCTGCCTGTCACCTGCCGCATATAGTCGCCCAACAGTTGGAGAGGGACGTCTGCTCCTTCTGCAGGTGGGGAAACTGAGGCACAGAGAGGTTCAGTGGCCTCCTTACACCTCGCAGCTGCTAAGCAAGAGGTCTAGCATCCAAATCCACTTGCCATCATACCCCTTAAAGGTGGGGTGGGCGTTGTCCTGACTTTAATGTCCCCTGCAGGTGCTGAGCACAGCGCTGGTCGTGGAGCAGTAGTTGAATGAGCATTCCAGACCCAGGCAACAGACTCTCATCTGCAGCAGCCCTGGGGTCAGCCATTTAAGCACCCTTATGGAGAGAGGATGGGGGCGCAGGTGGCCCCCTGGGCTGCATGCTCTCTGGGGTGCATGCGATAGTGAAAGCTAAGATTCACTGAGTACTCACCAGGCGCTGACACCACCTGAGTGCACATGCGGGGTGCTCACTGACTTCTCCCCTTAACCCTTCAGGAAGTACATTATTATAATCATCTCCTTTATACCAATGCGAGGATGGGCTTTAGAGAATGTCCAAGATCACACAGTGAGTAAATGAAAGAGGTGGATTGGAACCCTGTCTGACTCAGCACCCGTTAGTCATTCCAGGGCAGGCTGTTCCCACCGTCCGCCCCTTCCCCTTGCAATAACCTGTTGCTGTGTAATAAATTACCCAAGATTTAGCTGCTTGAAACAACACTTGTTGTCTCACAGTTTTTGTGGGTCAGGAATCCAGGAGCAGCCCAGCTGGCTGGTTCTGACTCAGGGTTTCACACAAGGTTGTGGTCACAATGCTGGCCAGGGCTGTGATCATCCAAAGGCCTGACTGGGGCTGGAGGAGCCACCTGGTTCACTCACCGGCCAGGCAGGTTGGTGCTGGCTGGTGGCTGGAGACCTCGGTTCCTCACCACATGGGTCCCTCCGTGGGCTGTCTGAGCATCCTCACTGCATGGTAGCCAATTCCTGCAGAGCAAGTGACCCAAGAGAGAGCTTGGTGTCTTTTACAAATGAGCGTTGGAAGTCACACGCCTCTGTTTTCCAGGTTTCTTGTTGATTTCACAGGTCAGCCCCATTCACAGTGGGAGGGAGCTGAAAGGGTGTGAAAATTAGCTGGCTACCACTGTCCTTATGAGGGTCCTACTTGCATTCGCAGCCTCCCCAGGAGAGAGAGAAGGGGTTCACACTCTGGGGGGTCCTGTAGCAACACAATACCTGTTGATCTCCAGGGTCCTCTCTGCTTGGGGCTAGACAGGTGGACATTGACCTAAGAGAGCAAAGGGTCCCTCCGGCTACCTCCACCAGGAGTCAGGGGACTCCAGAATGTGACAGCAGCTGCCACACATTGCAGAGAGAAACAGGAACAAGGTTCAGGACCCAGGATCATCATGAGGCCAGGTGGGTTCACCTGATCTCTCTGATGATTTGGCACCTTTTCTGGGTGCCACTGCAGGACCCTCCATCTACAGGTCCAAACAGTCCAGAACAGGGCTTCAGACCTAGACTGCCTAGTTCAAGTTAAGAGAGGGAGCCAAGTCAGGGGAGGGGTGTTACAGAGCCCATCAGCCCACAAGACTTGTTCAGCACCCTCCTTAAACCTCATCCACCTCCCCTACACAGTTCCCCTACCTGGAAGCAGCTGCCCTGCCTCATCTCACCCCCTCACATCTCCTCTCTTTCTGGCTACCTCGTGACCTCTTCTTCCAGTTACTACCATCTTCTCCCACCCCTGCAGGGACACTGCTAGTCCACAGGGCACCTCTATGGGAATTAGAAAAAGACATCCTCTCTCTCGAGCCACTTGACTGCCATCTGTTGGAAAATTTGTCTTAAAACATGTACAAACCCATGTTAGGAATGTGTGTTGCCCTTGTGCAGTGTACAACCTGCTCAACTGTACACAGTGGCCCCACAATCAGAGTCCCTCCCTCATTTTTCCCTCCTGTACAACAAACCCAAAGTCTCTCTAATAGTAATAGCTAACCTCTATTAAGTGCTTACTTTTCACTATGGACAATGATAAGTTCTCTCTATGCATTAGTTTATATAATCCTTATAACTCCTTCCTCCAAGAAGTAAGGACTATCATTATCCCCATGTTACATATGAAGAAAGTGATGTGGAGAGAAATCAAATGACTTTCTCTGGTCACCCAACAAAAAAGCATTAGGTTTAGGACTTAAACCCAGGCCAACCTCCAGAAATCAAGCTCTTAGCTACCACCATCCCTCACTCTGGCCTCATCCCCATTACCCAGCTGAGCCCCACCAGAGGCTCATTTCTGATAAGCTCAGCCATTTTTTTCCCTCCAGAGCTAGAAGAAGCAGAGAGGCTCAGTAAGCATTATAACTGAGGATATTTTTTCCTGTCCACATGGTTTGTCCAGTGTTGGAATGAATGAACTCTGCTCCCTTCCAGTGCAGCTAAAAGGCATTCAGGAGAAATGGGCCTGGGATCCCCGGCTGCAGCCGCTCAGCCTGCGTGCAGGGAAGCTGGCGGAAAAGCTTGGTCCTCTCCTCCACAGATCCATCTTCCACCTCCAGCTGAGTGATCCCAAGTACCTAAGAGGTAGGACTGTGGGTGGAGTCCCATTTCTTAAGGAACACAGCGTCTGGGAGTGTTTACTGAAATAACTTAGTGCAGCTCCTCCCCGGTACAAGGAAGGATCCGGGACAATCTGTAACCAGCTGCCCTGGGGGTGTTCGGTCATCCTTGATTTCAGCTTGAGATGACCTCTCTCACCCACACAGAGTGAGTGGAAAGAAGGGAATGGGTCCAGGCTTGGGGCCTTCTTCCTAGACCAGAGTGGGGATGGGTAGAGATCTAAAAGGTAATCAGCCCTTTACATAGCAGACATTAGCATCTTGCTAGCATCTCTCTGTGCCTTATAATACAGAGCCTGTGTCTCCTTGTCAGCCTCGAGTCACCCTACCAAGAGCCCCACCCTAAGCTGTGGCCTGAGTTGTTCCTGGGTGGAGGTGAATGGGTGTATAAACTAGCCCCTCGTGTTGTTCAACCCTGCCTCCCGGGCTCCCAGCTCCCAGGTACGTAGGGGTGAGCGGGGAGATAACTAGCCAGATGATAGCCTGCTCACATGATCAGACCCCAGCCCTCCCGAGCACCAGCTGGCCTGTCAGCAGTCAGGGTCACTCATGCTCTTCCAGGCCTGGTCCCTAAGACCATCCTGGTCTGCATCTTCCTAAAGAAATCTGTTTAGTAAGAGCTCCACGTTCCAAAGGAACCAAAGGAAGTAACTAACCCTATTTATGTCTCAAGCTTCCATGGAATGCCGTGGATTTAGTCAGAGCCCATCCCAGCACTGTTCCTAGTGATTTCTTAAAATTCTTTTTAGAAAAAATTTCCTGAGCATTTCAAATGCAGTGCCCAACCCTCAGGCGAGGCTCGGAGCCCTGAAGGCACACATGTGTGGTCAGGGCTGCCCAAGGAGGACACCCAGTTCCTGGGCTCCGAGCCACGGAAGCTTGGGGGTGGTTAAGCACAAAGCGGGCACAGCCCGTGGGTCTTCCCCCACTCCCTCCTCTCTGCCAGAGTTCCAGCCGACTATCGAGTCCGGATTTTGGAAGCTCCCACGTGCCTGGACCCACACCAATGCCTCCATGGTCTACCCCACATTCGAGCCACAGGACTCCTTCTCAGAGGAACGCAGTGACTTGTGCCTGGTGCAGCTGCTTGGAACCAGGTGGGCCCCCTGGACGTGCCCTGCTTCCTGAAAACCCCAAAGTGCTTGCTCTCTGCTAGTCACCCCATCCTACTCACTCTCCAGGGCCTCAGGGGTTTGGGCAAAACCAGACACAGCTCCCCTGAGAGCCCTAAGTGCAGGGACCCATGGGACTCATGTGCAGAAGAGGCAGCAAGGTGCCCAGACCCCCCTCCTCTCAGCATCCTACAGAGAGGTGTTTGGGCCAAGACACAGCTGGGCTTGCAGAGCAGCTGTGCTCTGGTGAGGGATCTGCCCTGTCCCTTCTATGGGGCAGGACTGGCACGGGGGGGGGGATGGGCACACTGGGCCCAGGGATCTGCTTTTAGGTCAGTTCTGGGGAAAACGGTATTTGGGGGTCCCATGAAGAATGGGTAGTCGTAGCCCCTGGTGGCTCCCCCAACCCGGGATAGCTCCAGCGTCATCTCCTCTGCACTGGGGGTGCTGATTTAGCCAATCCAGACACAGGACACCTGTATTTATCTGGCACAGCTGTGTGCCTGGACCCTACGGGGGTTCTGATAACTACTGAGGGAATCAGGACCAGGGGAGGCTCCATATCCTTGGGCTTCATTTAGGATGCTCTTAACAGCCTGGAACCACTTCTCCCACAGGGCAGATGGCAGCCAGCCCTGCAGGCTCTCAGATTTCTGCAGGACCCTCATGACGAGGCCCGGCTGCTCTGGCTACTGCCTGTCCCACCAGCTGCTCTTCTTCCTCGTGGCCAGAATGGTGAGTGCCAGGCGTGGGCCCAGCCATACCCTGAGGAGGAAAAGGAATGATTGAAAGGGGCTCGTGACACTGTGGTTTTATTTGTTCACATCAAGAAAATAAGCAGGTTTTGGAAGAGGTGCTTAGCTGCACGAGGTCCTGGGTTCAATCCCCAGTACCTCCATTAAAAATAAATAAATACACCTAATTACCTCCCCCAAAAAAAAGTTAAAAAAGAAAAAAGGGAAAATAAAATAAGCAGGTTTTAAACTTGTGCTTCAACATTGGGAGGGGGACGTGAGAAGCCTGCCATTCATTAGCTATGAAATACCACCAAACTGGTGGAGGGTGGGGAAAGTGAGATTCTGTTAGACAGAGAGCTTTGCATGCTGAACTGGATCACCGGGCATCAGAAAAACAAAGAAAGAAGCAGCAGAAAACTGAACACAATGAAAACAGCCCCTGCCCCGACTACCATCTCTCCAGTGCCCAACACTCTCCCAAGCTCAAGAACTCAAATTTTGCTAAATACTCATTTCAATCATATATTTATTTATATAGAAAGTAGGGCTTGCACAGGGAACTATATTACAATAGCTTGTAATAACCTATAATGAAAAAGAATATATATGTATGTATAACTGAATCACTGTAACTGAATCGCCAGAAACTAACACAACATTGTAAATCAACTATACCTCAATTTAAAAAAAAATTTTAACTACAAACGAAAAAGAAAGTAGGGCTTGCTATCTCTATTCAAAAATGTTACTCAATGTCCAGAAATTCTCAGCCAAGGAAGGACTTGCTGATTTTGTTTAATAGATTTTTTGTTATTAATTATTTGCAAGCTGTCACAGGTCAGTATTTTTGTGAATACGATAAAAAACCAAATTACAAGGAAAACTGTTGTGATTATTAGATTCAGCAGATAGTTACTCTGACACATTGCTACAAAAGCTTTTCTAAAGTCTATTCCCATCCCCTGTCTCTCTCGGTGCGACAGGTCCGCGGCCCACACTTTGAGTAACATTGTAGCCGCCTGCGTTCAGGTTTAGTTTGGAATCAGAATGTAAAGCAGCCGCCGGAGGCTTTAATGCGCCCCCTGGTGTCGGGCGTCGTATCGGCACTTCCTGGTTTTGGTACCGCCCACCCTGGCGAGCGCCCCACGGGTGCTGCTCCCAGCGGCATCGCCCTTTCCCTGTGAAGACCTTTGAGACTCCCAAAAAGTTAACTTAGAGGGCTGAAGTCGCACATCTCCTGAGTGGCAGAACCGGGACTCGAACCCAGCTCTCTCTGTCCCTCAGTGACTCAGCCCCCAGCAGGCTGGGAGCGTGGGAGGGGAAGAAATTCTGGGAAAAGGGGAAAGACCTGCCCTAAAGGCAGCCACTTGCAAGACCACTTCAGAACTGCAGGTCTTTTCCTGTAACGGAGCGCGCGTCTGTCGTTCATACCACCAACTTCCTCGTCTCTTGGTATTTGTTCACCCAGAGAGGATGCACGAAGGGGCTGTTCCGCCAGAGCCAGCGCTACATGAACCTCTTCTGCGCCAACATGATGGACCTGAACCGGAGGGCTGAGGCCATCGGATATGCCTACCAGACTCGGGACCTCTTCATGGAAAACAGTGGGCCCCCGCATTCTGCTCTAGGAACAAATCAGCAGGATGTCCCTGATTCTGGACACAAACACCACCCTCCCCAGAGTAGGGCTGCCAGACTTAACAAATGAAAATACAGGAAGCCCAGGCAAATGTGAATTTCAGAAGGCAATGAGTACATTTTTAGTATAAGTATATCCCAAACATTGCATGGGCTATACTTATAATTTTTTAGTCATTGTTTATTGGAAACTTAAATTTAAGTGGGCATCCTGTATTTTATCTACCAGTGTTTTGACTGCTTCCAGCCCCCAAAAGATTGACCCACTGATGGAGCTCTGGATAGACTGACCAACTAATTGACTGGCAAACAGACACTCAAAACCTTAGAGATAAGGCAGAAAGGGGGCCCCCTGGGTGGCTGCTCCTTTGCTTGGGTGCCCAGATGCCTCTACTGACCCTGACTCTTGAGCAGCCCCGACCGAGGCCCTAAGTGGGAGGCAGGACCCAGGTCTGGGAGCCCCTACTCACAAAGGCAGACCCTAGGTGCTGCTTCCTTCCAGCCACTGCGTTCAGTGCCCACCTCCTGGTGCTGCCTCTCTAGCAGGTGGTACCATGGTGACCTTGGGGAGTGGGAAGAGGTGGGCCTGGGGGGCAGGCCTGCAGAGGGTCCCCTGTCTTTGCTTCCAGTCATGCTCTGTGGAATTGGCGGCTTCTCCGACTTCTACAAGCTCCGGTGGCTAGAGGCCATTCTCAGCTGGCAGAAGCTGCAGGAAGGATGCTTCGGGAGGCCCGGTGAGCTGCACTTCCTCCCTGGTTGGCAGCGGGAGAGTGGTGGAGGTCTAGGCTTCTAGGCCAGATGGGGGAAGGGTGCAGTGGTGTTAGGAGTGCTGAGAGATTCACAACATGTGTGTGCAGAAACATGAATACACGCACACAGACATGGAAATAGGATCGGAGCTTTGGAAGCCAAAACTTTGCAGGATGAGAGGTCTTGTTGGAAGATGTTGGCCCCCTGCACCTGCATTAACAAATTCATTTCTTCACTGAGTATTCCCTGAGCATATACTATGTGCAGACTGTTCTAGGCTCTGGGGAAACTAAGCAAGGAAAAAAAGGAAAGAGAAAAAGACAGAAACCAGGGTCAGGGGAGATGTCTGGGAGAGGGTGACATAGAAGCAGAGGTGGAAAAGCAGAGGTTGCAGCCCCTTTCCAGCCGTGTGACACCAGACAGCTGGTCCTCTTCGGCTTAAGTCGGTTCACTTCTCTGAACTGCAATTTCCCCTTCTGTACAGAAATGAGCAGAACAATCTCCACCTTCCTGTGCTGTGAGGAGTAGACACAATATATATGAAACCACCTACCCTGCGCCTGGCCCAGACGAGGCTCCCAGTAGACGCTACCTTCCTAAATGAGAAACTTAGGATGCTCAAAGAGCAAAGCTTTCGAAATAAGATCATCTGTTTTAAAACAGTGTTTATAAAATGAAGATTCTCAGAAGGGGGGAGGGTATAGCTCAAGTGGTAGAGCACATGCTTAGTATGCACAAGGTCCTGGGTCCAATTCCCAGTACCTCCTCTAAAAATAAATAAATAAACTTAATTACCTCCCCCCAAAAAATAAAAAAAAAATTCTGAGGCCTCCAGATCCATAGATTCAGCAGGTGGAGGGGCTGTGGAACCCACATTTTCAGTGATCTCCTCTGGCCATTCCAATGTAGGTAGTTGGGGGACCACAATTTGGGAAACGTAAGTAGATGCAGGTTTAGGTGACGTGGAAGTATCCATACACAGGGGCTCGAGGAAGTTTCCAGCAGAGCCTTCAGATTCAAGAGAAGACCTAAGTTGCTGGAGGTGTTGTGAAGGGGAGGGGGTTTAGTCGGTAACATTTAAAAAATCCATCGTGAGACGTTCACCTTGTACTCTTCTTGCAGCTGCTGAAGATGAAGAATTACCTAAAGCCATTAATTACCAACATCATTTTTTGAGAAGAGTGAAGAGGCGAGATAAACAATTTACAGGTAATGAAAATACCAAGAGACCATCTTGGCATGAAATCAAGAGAACTTAGAAAGGCTACACTCAAGGAAAACAGGCCTCCAGTGTGTCCAAGGTCCTAAGGTGGAAAGGGGCCTTTGTGTTTGGGAGTTGGAGGAAGGGCAGGAGTCTCTGATGCCCTCCTCTTAGAAAGTGGGGAGTCCAGAAATTCTGTCTCCAGTGAAGGGAACATGTAAGTTTCAGTGTATTACACACTGAAAATCACAGAGAAAACCTCTCTCAGTCAAGGTCTGATCAGGAAAACAGCACCAGGAACTTCAGCAGAGAGAACTGAATATAGGGAACTCATCTCAGAAGTGCTGCAAGAATGAAAACATAAAAGGTGAGAAAACACAGAGATTAACCATGGCAGGAAGCCACCATCCTCCCTGGAGGCAGAGCTGGAGGGACGGTGGAGGAGATGGGGTGAGCAAAGCCAGTAGTGGCTGGATGAGGAGACAGAGAGGGGCAGGGGGAGGAATACCCTAGCTTCTCCCCTCGCCCCACTTGTGCCTACTGGTGGTCAGCAAGGCAGTCTGGGAAATGTAGTTTGGAAGGGTAGGTGCACTGGGGTTTGGTGCAAAGGGAAGAAAGGGGATCTTTGGGTCAGTGGGCAAGTGACCAGCACAGTCCTGGTGGCCACATGTCCAGCTTATCCCTGTTGTCCTGAAGCCATTACGAATAGCGCCCTCTTCCCTTCCAAACATGTCCAGGTTGGGATGATTAGTTACATGGTCAGCCCACTAATATAGAGAAACTGAGAATAGGCTGTAGCTACATTGGGAAGGGAAGAAAGGCAAGACATGATACAGAAGGAAGGGATGGAGAGAGGGAGGAAGGGAGAGAGAAAGAGAGAAGGGAAGGAAGATGATTTCAATTTTTTTTACTAATAAAAATATAAATAGCTACAAGGCAAAAGCAGGAAGGGAGGTAGGCTAGCCAGCTCAGAGCAGATGTCCAGCATACACTGGGGTATCATTCCAGCAACTAAACGTCTTGCCATCAACCCCACCACGGCCTCATCATCTATCTGCAGGTGATGAGAGGGGAGAGTGAAATTACAATTCTGATGGGTCTACTTTGTAGTTGCCACCAAAGATTGGGCAGGGGAAGGGAGGTGAGTTCTCAGGAGACCTCCAGAGGCCCCTTGTCCTGGCAAGGTCTGCCCGACCTAGGAACTGGGGCTATCTACGTCCGGCAGTAGGGGGCCTGCGTGCACACTCTGAAGAGCAGGCTGATCCCTGGAGACTGACAGCTGGACACTAGGACTATCCTGAGGGCTGGAGAGGGAGCTGCAGAAATCCCAAAGCCCAAGGTCCTTCCTGGGGCCCCTGCAGGTTGACCGGCAGCTTAGAAAGCTACCCAGGTGGGAGGGGCATATTCCCTCCTTCACTTAATAATGCACATCCATGTTGCCTAAGGGCACTGGATTTGAAGTCGGGCTGTCTGCGTTTGAATCTGCTTCTGCCTTTCTTCACTGTGGGAGTCACTCAGTCTCTGAGCCTCAGTTTCCTCATCTGTAAAATGGGGACCAAGCAATGCCTCCTTCATAGGGCTGTTGGGCGTTAATATTAGATCATCATGCGAAGTGTTCCCCAGGTCATTTGGCGTATAGTAGCCACCGGTAAGCGTGGACTGCCAGGGTTAGTAATTAGGTTCCTCCCTCCAAGGAGCCTGGCTGGTGTCCTTCCCTTCCCCAGGCCTGGGAGGGGAGAGGAAAGTTCTGGCTCCCTCCCACCGGCCCAGACTAAAGGTGGGCAGCCCACTTTGACTTTAGAGGACTAAACAATGTCTAAGGGGCTCCTGGCTCAGGCCAGCATTCAGGGTGACTTGGGACCAGGCAGGACCGAGGCAGCCATGAGGGAGGCCATTGAGATTAAGAAATGAGCTGTAGAGTCCCCAGGGCAGGGAGCTCAGCTCTGCTACCTGAGCCTCAGTTTCCCCATCTGTAAAATGAGGCAGCTAGGTGCTGTCCAGGTCTCACGCAGGACCTGAGCACAGGGGAAGGTGGGAAGGAGTGACCAGGGTGTGGCCTCAGGTCAGATCCCAAGGGAGGAGAGGGCTCTGGAGCGTTTATCACTGTATTAGGAAGTCACTGGGACCTCCCAAATGAAGGGCTCCAGCTGGCTGAAGACTCTTCTGGGAAGGGAGCCTTTAGTGGCCAGCACTCAGAGGCTGGCAGATGGGTGCCCGGCCCTGCATCTGGGAGGATCTGGGGGCACCAGGCTGAATGGGGGAACACCTGAAAAGTACTCACAACGGAACAGTGGCCGCCACCCAGCACTCACAATGAGGCCTCTGTCTCCCCAGACGGTTGCTCCTCCCACAACACAGCCATGGCCGTCGCGGCCCTGGGTGGCTTCCTCTACGTCCTGGCGGAATACCCCCCAGCAGACGGAGAGCTGCGGCCGCCCACGCCAGCACCGCCTAAGGGCCACTGACACAGATGGTTCCGCGCTTGCTGCCCGCCAGGAAGATAAAATGTACGCCTTTAGTCCTTCCTTCCTTCTTTAAGGCCTGGGGCCTGGGTCACACCCTGTGAAGGAGGCAGCTGAAGCACAGCAACCCAGCATCATCCCCTGGGGAAGCCGGGCCAGGGATCGGGGCTGGGATGGACCCAGGCTTGGGAGCAGATGAATAAATTTAGAGTGCAGTTGAGTGGGGATTTGAGTCTTGGTTCTCAGCCTTTCAGACAACTTGGAGGGCTCTGTTTTGAGTCTTCAACCCCACGCAACACAAGTTCTTAAAAAAAAAAACCCATAAACTAAGTCTTAAAGGAGGTTTGTTCAGATGTCATTGGGTACAGCCTTCCCAATGGGAGACAGAAGGGTCTCTGAGCGTAACAGTTCTGGTCATGACCTAAAACTCAAGATATGACCACAAAAGGCAGCACGGAAAATCAGAGCTCTGCTGTATCCTCAGGTGCATCATGTCATGTTACAAAAGGCCACGTAGCATTATGGTTAACAGGGTGGTTCTGTGCCCAGGCCACCTGGGTCCAAATCCCAGCTGTCCCCTAATTAGCTCGTGTCCTTGGGCAAAGTCATCTAGCATCTCTGTGACTAAGTTTCCCCATCATCACAATTGGGATCATTATAGCACCTGCTTCAATATTACCTCCACAGCTGTGAGAGTTATGTCTGTAGAGTACTGAGAACAGGACCTGTAAGGTAGGAGGTGCTAGGTCAGTGTTACTATGGCACAGTGATGATGTCACACCCAATGGGGGCTTGTCCTGAAGCAGCGGGAAGGGGCAGCTGACGCATCAATGTTTCTCTCATTCCCAGCTTTTCGCTCTTCCCTCCCCTTCTGCTTCAGTGTGTGTCTCTAACCGTGTCATCGGGAGCTCTGACACTAATCTCGTGGTTGGGAAAAGACCTGGAACCTTATTAAGGGTCCATGTGTGTCTGTGGTGCTGATTTCAGGCTACATGCAGGTGGGAGTCAAAAAAAAAAAAAAAGCACAGCGAAAAACCCAGTCTTTGGACTGGGAGACTCTTTAAGTCCATTGTCTTGCATTGTCTCAAAGTGGAAAAAGCTGATGGTCAACCTTATATGACAGTTTAGACATATTTGAGGATCTGAACTAAAATACCCTTCGTTCCTTCTGTGTCCAGCTGAATAACCTGGTGGGGGGAGTGGTTCTTCCAAACCTGTCCTTCGGGAGTTGGTCCCCTGTATCTATTCCTCTTTGCTTCTGCCCCAGATGCCTTCCTGCAAGTGCTCTTCAATTGTCAGGCCTGGATTTTCTTGGCAAGTGTGACTTGCTTTTGAGGTTGTTTTCTTGGGGAACCAGGAGCCAGAAACTGAATATCCACTCGGCACTCCGTATGCTTCAGGGAGTTCTTCCACACTCTCAAACAGAAGTTGACCAAGACAGGGACACAACTGGCTGGAGGGAGCTGTGCCCCACCCCCATCCTTCCTGAATTTGGGACAGGTTAGTTGGTGGAGCCTGCCTGACACTGATTCCTTTTTAGAAAGCTTGTGTTACCAAACCAGAGTGGAATGAGTCTAAGAGAAGCCTGAGTTTATGAGTCACTTTCCAGGAAAGGGAATCCTAATGAAAAGGGGAAGAAAAACTTGCAAGGTGAACTTCACTTGAATCATCGCTTCTTTGGATTTCTGTTGCCCCCAGGCACTGAAAGAGGTAAAAACAGTGGGTGAGTCTTTTCACCTCTCTCCACCCTGGTCCTGCCCCCAGACCTCAGCGTCTCCTCACCGAAGACAGATCATGGATTCCCAGCCCAGGGGGCTGCATGGGAATCTCTGAGGGCAGGGCCTGGGAATCTGCATGTTCAACAAGACTCCCCCAGGTGATTCGAATGTAGGTGACCACGGGCCACACATTGAGAAACTCTGCCCTTGGTAGACGTGAGTGGTGAGAGGCAGCCCGCCACCCTCCGCTCCAGGGAAGGAAGCCCCTCTAGGACACTGCGGCAGTCAGCACACCCAACGGGCTGCCTGTGAGGGCCCGATATCACAGCACCCTCCGTGTGTGCACCACTAGAATTAAGCCCAGAGAGAAACTTTCCCATGGAGTTTGAAACAAACCCCATGGAGGTTACGGGAAGCTTGGTCAGCACAGGACACATCCCACAGATGAGAGCCATTGTTTCCCCTCACTGGTGCGGAGCAGCTGCAAGCAATCTGCTTACACAGCGAAGAGGAAAAACAGGGTCAGGCAGACTGGCCGGCGGGGAGAGGAAGACGCGGAGTGACGGAGGTTTGGGACTTAGAGGTAAGTTAGGGGGATGAGGGGAAGGGTTTGAAGCCACAGTATCCTTGGCATCAATCCTCCTCGGCCTTCATCTACAGCCTCCCTGCCATGCCCTACAAACACCCCCAGAGACCTCCTCACTGCACACATTCACCCACTGTGACTTTAGTTCAAAAGTATGTTCCTATAGGGCATTTGCTCAAGGTATAAATTTTCATTGTAAAAGAGTAATTCTCTCCATATCATCCAGCAATCCCACTCCTGGGCATATATGAAGACAAAAGATGAAAACCCTAGTTAGAAAAGATACATGCACCCCAATGCTCACAGAAGCACTGTTTACAATAGCTAAGACATGGAAGCAACCTAAGTGCCCATCGATAGATGACTGGATAAAAGAAGATGTGGGACACACACACACACGCACATAATGGATACTACTCAGCCATAAAAAAGAATGAGATAACTCCATTTGCAGCAACATGGATGGCCTAGAGATTATCATACTAAGTGAAATAAGTCACAGAGAAAGATAAATATCACATGCTATCATTTATATGTGGAATCTAAAAAAATGATACAAATGAACTTATTTACAAAACAGAAACAGACTCAGAGATATAGGAAACAATCTTATGTTTACCAAAGGGGAAGTGGAGGAGAAATAAATCAGGAATTTGAGATTAACAGATACACACTACTATATACAAAATAGATAAACAACAAGGACATACTGTAGAGCACAGAGAACTATATTCAATATCTTGTAATAACCTCTAATGGAAAAGAATTAGAAAAAGAATATATTTGTATATATATAACTAAATCAATTTGCTGTACACCTGAAACTAACACAACACTGTAAATCAACTATACTTCAATTTAAAAAGTTAATTCTGTTATGTAAATCAATTGTTTTTAAAGTTTTTCCTTTTAAGATGTAAATATATACAGGACAACCTAGGAGTTAAGACTTCCTCTGCTGAGTCATCTTAGCAGGAATCAGTTTGTGGACATGACTTCTGCAGGACGGTTTCCTGAAACCAGATCTAAGAGAAGAGCGCAGGGAAGGGAAGAGACAGTTGGCAAAGGCCAGACTGGCTCGAGCATCTCCCTGTCCTGTCCACTGTTCCTCAGCGACTGGGCCTCTAATTCAGTTAAGATTTTATTTGTCCTTTAGGATTCAGCTAGAATGTCACTGGTCCTATGAAGTCTCCTCCCATCCTCCCACCTACCTCCCTCTTTTTCACCTGGCTCTTTGGGCACCTTATTCTGGCAATCGTGTACTTGTGGATTCTATCATCAGACAGTAAACTACTTTAGGGTGTGGATGGTATCATGTGCTCTTCGTGTGCCCAGCCCCTACTGCACTACCTGGAACAGAAAAATGTTGAATAAATGTTTGTAGAAGTAAATACGAAAAAAGAAAAGAAAAACCAGGCTTTTTAGGATGTTGTGTCCAAGTCTTAGCTGGTAGACGAGACCTTGGGCTTCGAGCTTGTTGAGTCTGTTCTGGTAGCTGGCAGTCCCCTAAGTCCATGGACAATGAGGGCCCCTAACATCACACCCCCGACATGGGAGAGTACAAGAGAACCTCCTGCCCCTGGAAGCCTTAATGTCAGGTTCTAGGATATTGTAAATACCCCCTTAGCGCTATACATAAGAGAAACAGAACACAGTGCAAACAGAAGAAATTGATCTTAGTTTATAATTCCTAAAACTATTTTATAAGAGCAAGTTTCATTTCCCAGACTCCAAAATAAACATGCATTCCCCCCTCCTCCAGCCAAAAAAGTTCCTCCTGGGCAGGAGAGCAAAGGGCCTACTGGCTCATGCTTCAGAACCAGATGCCTCCTCTGCTTACAGCTGTGCGAGCTTGGGCCAGTAGCTTGCCCTCTCTGTGCCGCCACTTCCTTTTCTGTATAATGAATAACAATAATACCCACCTTCTAGGATTCACGAAGGGATTTGATGAAATGGTGCAGGTTATTGCCTGAGGCTTAGATGAGTTGGGGTAGGGGTGTAGCGTTGCTGTGAGTATTCTTAGAAAGCCCAGCATCCATACCACTTCTTAGGTGTTATCAGTCACCCTATTATTTACTAGTAAACCATGTCATTCCCAGACAAATACTCCATTCATTCAATAAATACTGTTTAAAAACTTACTGTGTGCCAAGCTATGCTCTGGGCATGAGAAGTACAGCTGAAAACATAAATGGAAACCCTGTCCCCATCTATTTTTTCAAGAAATATCTGTGAGGCACCTCCTGTGCACCAGGCACTGTGCAAAGTGCCTGGGAAAAGCAGTGAAAAACTGAGATGATCTCTGCTCTCACAAAAACAACAGTCAAGGCAAGGAAACAGGCATTAGGAAACAATCATAATCAAGCAGATGGAGCATAAGGTAGAGAAAGCGCACTGCTTAAACATGGTCTTCTTTCCCTTACTGATAAACGTATGTCAGTGCATAAACGTTGTTTGTGTTCTTAGTGGAGGAAACAGATATTTGCCATATTTCATGCCCTGTAGGAGCTCAGCGCTCTCAATCAGAGGGCTTGCTAAAATGGATGAAAAAGCTAACAGCAACAGAAGAGACATCTTCCGGAGGTGTATGGGCCCAGCGCTGAAAAGCACCTATAAACTGTATAAATCTTCAGAGGCTAATGACAGAGGGCTCACAGGAGAGGCCACTATACCCAACCCCCATCCTGTCAGCTTTATCTTAAAACCCTCTGGGGTTGTTTCCAGTCACTCCCTGTTTCCACCCCCAGCCCCAAGCAACCACTAATCTGCTTTCTGTCTCTCCAGATTTGCCTTTTCCGGACCTGTAATACAAATGGAATCACAAGATAGGATTTTCCGAGGTGATGGAAATGCCCTAAAGTGGATTAAGGCGATGCTGCGATATCTCTGTACATTTACTAAAGATCAGTAAGTGTACCCTTAAAGCAGGTAAGTTTCATGCTGTATGGCAAAAACTTACTATACTTTAATAGAGCTGTTTCAAGATAAAACAAAAACTTCCAGCGGCTTCCTGT